AAGAAGGGAGTTTTTATACCAAGAATTTATTTATCACGATTCCAATTCCACTTTTTGTCATATAATACTTCCTCTTTTAATTGCTCGTTCCAATTTTAGTTAAATCCAATTGCAAACATAGCTGTAAATAGCTCCTAAATTTTAGGCACTTTTTACTGCTATATAGAAGCCTGTCAAGAAGGGAGTTTTTATACCAAGAATTTATTTATCACGATTCCAATTCCACTTTTTCTCATATAATACTTCCTCTTTTAATTGCTCGTTCCAATTTTAGTTAAATCCAATTGCAAACATAGCTGTAAATAGCTCCTAAATTTTGGCACTTTTTCTGCTATATAGAAGCCTGTCAAGAAGGGAGTTTTTATACCAAGAATTTATTTATCAATGAGTGAAATTAATTTGCTGTTTGTTATTTTTGAACTTTGAATGCCCGTGTGGTCAGTGATTGCGATATGTCAAGGCATTTGAAAGTTTTAATAAAATTGTATATTAGCAGGATCAGTTAAAAACTAAAGGTTAGAACTCTATGTTTTTAGTACTCTCTAAATGCAAAATTGGTTTAGATTTACAGCACGAAAACTATGATCTTATGGGTTAAAAGTTTAATCCGTAACATTACTTTTCATGTCAATTCCAAGAGAAGGAATCAGAACGTGTTCCAAGCACCTAGTGTTAGCTAGTGTGTGTCTAGTATTTACAGCAAGGTTGTTGGCAAGATCTGTACTTCATCATTGAAATACTTAATATCACTTTTAGAGAGTTTTGGTTTCTGTAACTGTATCATTTCTGTTATTAACAGTGTCAGTTTTATACCCAGCTTTTACTTACACATAGAGTCTTGCCACAGTTTTATAGACTATCATTGAACAACCAAAGATCTTGATTTCCATATGCTTGCAACATGGTATTTCAGTCCAAAGAGCCAATTATTGTATTACCTTACTACTACTGGGCATAATAATACTCTGTATTATTTTATAGCCTTTATACATGTATGCCACTTTCTGATTGGTTTAATGACAACCAATCACACTGTAAACTGTCAACACTTGACTGTACCCTCGTACAGTTCATTTTCACACAATAAAGGGGTAAAATTCCCATAGTATTTACCTCTTATGTTATCACTAGTATAAAAGCCCGTCAAAGATTATGGAAAAACCAAAGCCTACCAAATTTGAATCCTCCAATATGCATTTACAACTTTGCTGCCTATAAACAAACGCAAGAAAAATAAAGGGCCTTCTAGCTTCGGGAAACCGAAGCCTATCATGAGCAATATCTCCTCTACCTAAAGAGTGTCTCTTCCCAGCATCAATCCTTGTCCCAATATTCTTTGATCACGGTTATTTTATTATCACATCAATTGCATTATTACAGTAGTTCTCTTAAAAACCACATTTCTTGTAAATACTTGATCATCATTCAAAAACTTCTTCAAAGTTCAAGTGGTCTTGACTCACATGCAGATAAGAAGTTGTAACCAAAACAAAAAGTTGAAACAGTTTACTCAGCCTGTTGATTACATTTAATCATTACAAAAGAATTTTTCTGGCTAGAAATGCCGTACTGTTTCAGCTTACTAAAACGTGTGATGGTAACATACGGTAGGAAGGGGGAACTATTTTGGTAGCTCTGCCGGTAGAATACCAGCCTTGGAGCACTGGTGTGAGATGAGGATGTTAGGTTTAGGTCCTGGTAAAAAAAAAAAAAAAA